TGCAGAGAGTAAATGGTGTCCGGGAGGCAACAGGCCTGATTCTTACTCTGCTCTGCCCTTAGGGGATGCAGGGGCCGGGGAGAACCTTGGCAACAAGTCTGAGGCTCCCCAGACCAGAACTGACAGCTAACACCTGTAAAAGCTTTTTGCATTTCACAAAACACTCCTTTATCTATGGCAGTGGGGGCTTGTGAGGGCACAGGTCCCAGGGCCTTGGGTTCTCGGGCGCTTCTGGAGCTTTGCATCCCCAATAGAACATATACCCAGCAGCCTTCTCCCTTCTCTGCCTTCTGCCCTCTCTTTTACCTGCAAGATTAGTGCGTGCGAACTCCACTCCCCACTGCAAAAAAACCTCTCATCGCTTTTGGGAAAGTCCTGTACGACTCCCCCTCGTTAAGGTAAATGGCTTCTAAGGACAGCTGGCTGCATCGTCCCACCTCAAAGCTCCTGCTCCTTTATCCAAGAACAAGCCTTGAGACAAAGAATGAAACTTTAATGATGGAATTTTGGACATCAGTGAGCAGAGTCTTTTGGGGAGACTAAGTACCACCCCCCGAAAGATCACCTGTTATAAGTAGCCCCTTACTTTAAGTCCCATTGTGTCTTTGTCACCATTTTATGCCCAGTGCCCACCATGGTGCCATGCACACTGTAAGTACTCAATGAATGTGCGACGCATGAGGAAGTGTTGATGAATGTCTGGGCAGGAAGAGAGCGAGGCCTGTGGGCTGCCTGTAGCAGATCGGAGGTGAAAGCCAAGTCCTCCCAACTTCACCCATGACTCACCATAATCAGCAAACGCTAAGCGCCTGCTGCATGCATGTCTCTGGCTGGACCACAGGCCAAGGTACCTCCCCCAAATTGGCCTGTCAATCAATTGAGATTTCATTCATTCATTCATTTATGCATTCATTCATTCTTTCATGCATGCATGCCTGAAAGTCACTGCTGAGCTCTGTGCTAACTCTGACACCAAAAATGGAGATGGCACAGCTCTGGCCTTTAAGATCCCGCCATGTAGCGCCCGAGGAGCCTGTGCGGGAGCACCGTGGAGGGAGGGAGGCAAAGCTCAGGTCTTCTCGGAAAAACTCACAGACGCTGAGCTGGTGATTTGGGATGACTCAGCAAAAGCCTCCAGGGCTTGGAGGAACGAGACTCAGGAGAGTCCAAAGCTTTCCCCTCCTGGCCCTCTTCCTGCAGCACCTGCTCACCACCTTCACAGCAGCCCTGGTCCTCAGGACCTGCCACGCTTTAAGGAAATGAGGTGGTTATGCCCATTTCATGGATGAAGAAACTGAGGACCTGGGACCTCCATCAACTGCACGGAAAACACAGGGAACAAGTGGGGTGGGAAGTCTCCTGTCTCCAGGCCACGTCCTCTCTCTCCTGGGTCACAAGGCTGCGCGTCTGGCAGGAAGGAGTCACCGCCCTCTCCCTCACCCCGATGCTGTTTGGGTCAGGGGTAATTTCACTGGTACCGTCACCAACACCATCCCCATTAGTGACAGGTGTTGGACACTTATTCCTTGCCAGGTCCTTTGCGAGCATTAACTCTTAAAATTCTCATAATTCCTTTATTATTCCCGCTTTATAGGTAGAAAAGTTGAGACCCAGAGAGGTGAATGGAGACAACTAGAAAGTGCCAGAACCAGGATCTACACCAAGAGTTCTATCTGCAGAGCCCACACCCTTAGCCACCACGCAGGACGACCTTAATATGCCCGAGGACACTGCGTCTCAGAGAGGTTGGGGGTCCTGCCTGAAGTCCCACAGCCAGGCAGCACTGGAGTCAGGATTCAAACTCAGATCTGGCTGCTCCCAGAGCCCCACGCTGCAGCCCTCAGAGGCTCCGGTGGCAGATGGGGAGCAAGAAGAAGAGGGGGCTGGGGTGCCTCCTTCACCTCCCAGCACATGGAGGACCTCCATCCCGGGGCAGCTGAATAATTTAAGCTCCTCGGCTCCAGCCCAGCCTGGGTCCCGGGGCTATTTTTATCCCAGGTTGCAGCCACAGTGCTTAACAGAAATAAACTGCGCCGCTGGCTTCTCGTCTTCACGTCGGCTGCCGATTTGTCTGCATTTATGACCAACTCCCCGCTCGAAGGGGATAGAGAGCAGAAGACAGGTCCATATGTCATGGTGGTTTTTATGAGAAAGTTACAAACTCTCTGTGACTCATGTAGAGAGAGAGAGATGGGGAGGGGGTGGATAAAGAGTAAATACCACATGCTACGAAGAAACCCCCAGAGCGGCCGCCCTGACGGGCCAGGACGGGCGGGAGCAGGAGGGAAGGGGAGCAGCAGAGCCAGCTGTGGAGGCTGACTCTCCAGGCCGCCCTGTGAAACTGCAGAAACCCTGGCCGCTGCCTCTCTCCTGCGAGTGAGAAAGGGGGGGCCCGCATTTGTCTCCTGCTCTGCTTCCCGGTGACCTATGCGGGCTGGCCAGGTGCTCCTGTCCTTCCTCCACACCCCAGGCTGGGGGGCAGACAGGCGGCAGCCGGAGCCGGCAGTGAGGGGACGATGCCTCGTCTTCCTGATGGTAGATGCGTGTGCTGCTGTGCCATGACTTACTGCGTGGTCTTTCCCTCTCTGGGCAGCCCCCAAAGGGGTTGGGCTAGATCAGAGGTTCTGAACTTGAGGTGCTCAGATGGGCATTAGGAAGGGCCCACAAACCCCCTGCTGTTGTGCGTTTGAGTGAATATGCATCTTTTCAGCATGGGGGGATCCTCAATGAGGTCCTTGCTGTCGCCCCTGGGATTAGTCTATAGGGCCTTCATGTGCTGCAAATCTGTGTGTCTCTGCATCTGCTTACGCCATACATACCGCAGAGCCCTCTCCACCTGAGCCCAGGACTCCGGGACCCCACCAACGTGTTGCAAGGGACCCCCATCCCACCCCAGTTTATCCCAAACAGGGACCCTCAGCACATGTGATAAATTCCCAGAGACTGTGCTAACCCTTCCTAGAAGCAGGTACACACACACACGTACTTAGCACACAGCCACTAACCTCAGAGCCAGAGGGGCCTGGGGGTCACCAAGGCCAACTACCATATTGCACAGGCGGAGAAACTGAGGCCCGGGAAGCGGAGGCAGAGCCAGGGCCAGAACCCAGGTCTCCCACTCCAAGTGCAAGGCTCATTCTGCAACTCCGGTCTCTGTCTTATTGGCGCACCACAATGCACCATTTCAAACGTGATGGGGGAGGAGGCAAGGCGGCCGCTTGGATCGTAGCCACCCCCAGGGAAGCACAGCTGGGAGACAGCACAGAGATGCTTCGAAAGCACCCAGTCCTGGGTACCTCAGCCGGGCTGGCATGTACCGCAGGGCTGACCCAGTCGTTAAAACACTAACACACTCCCGTGCCAGGTGGTGATGTTACGCTGAGGCCCCTGTGGCTCCCTTGTTCCTCCCCCAGTCCACTCTGAACCCTCAAAGGTTAACACTCGGCACTGCAGGGGACCCCTGAGATCCCCCACTCCAGAGCCCAATCATAGCCCAGTCTGGCCAGTCAATGCCCAAGTTCAATATCACCCCATGGCCAGATACGTGGCTCCTAATTTGAGCCTCTCATTTCTCATTCCTCATTTATAGTTGAGGCTTCCCAGGGAGGAAACTAAGGCAACTTTGTCCTCAAGGTCATCCCCCAAAGGAAGCGGAGGATTTGAGGACCACATCTTGGGCACTAACCACTGAGAACCCGCCCCCTCTCCCCACACGTCCTGCCTGAGCAGGCACGTGCCCTGGGATTCGGCGTCCCCGCATGGCCCTGGGGCGGGAGAAGGTGACTGAGTGGGCCTCTGCCCGCACCCCAGGCTTGCCAGTCTCTGGGAGGTAAGGCTGAATCCCTCCCACCTCCAAGAACAAGAACTTAAGGAGGAAATCCTTGGGGATGCGGAAGACTGGAGCAACCCTGAGACAACAGCAGCGATGCTAAAAATAAGGGCCTTCGCTCCCAGAAAGATGGATGTCATCAAAGCGGGAAGCCAGGAGAAATCCCCTTTTGATAAGTCACAGATTAGCAGCAAAGGCATTTTAAAATGAAATGTGAGTTTCTGGATTCACCCGCTAAGGACCTCCGCTTGCCACTCACTACAGGTTGGCGCAGGCTTAGCCCATCAGGACGTCAAATCAAGCAATGACAGAAGGCTAGGCTCTGCCCGGGAACAGATCTGAAACTGGAGCTCGCAGCCCTTCCCCGGCATCAGCACAAACCCTGTCCCCTGCCTTCCCCACTCTGAGACGGGCTCAAGGATGGAGTCCCCCAGGCTGGTGCCAGGACGCACGCCCCCACCCACCATACCCTCACTTACAGGTTACACCACCTGTGAAAATAAAACAGCGTCTGCTCAGCGGGCAGCTGGCTGCTCCCCTCTGGCCTGTCCGACCACTCGTTCCAAGCAAAATGTGGTCCTTTCATGGCTCCCACATCTCTTATCTCAGAAAGCTCAGGACAGCCAAGCTTACCAAAACCACACAATTGAATTACTCCCTAGAAGATGGCACAACCTGAGCCGGTCCTGCGCAAGCCTACCTGGTGTGCCGAGGTGACCCTAGGCACGGGTTAGCCTTCCAGCCTCAGGTGACCCTCTCCCATCCAGGGCCAAGATGCCCACCCACTAGATTAGAACACCCAGAGACCCTCCGTGCCAGGCTGGCCGGCCCCGGAAGGGTTAATTCACTCAGAGAACTGCCGGCTACTTTCAACAGCCTCTCCTGCAGGGGAGAGGGCAAGCTGGGCAGAAGCCACAATTCTGATCGCAATGCCTTAAAATGAGCATATTTTACCCCTCCCTGGGCACTGAGCCGAAATCTAATTTGGCTTTGGGGTGCCGCCTGGGTGATCAAACACACGCTGCAGAATGTGGGCAAATAAACGTGGTCGTTCCTCAACACCCCTCCCCTCCCACCTACCCTTCACCCCACCAGCTCATGCACGCACCTCGTGCAACTGGGATTCCAATACCCCCAGCCCCTTTGCACAACTGAGGAGAATATCACTTACCACAACACCAGCGGATTGCAGGGGGAACGGCTGAGCCAAATTCTTGCCAACTCCTCCCTTCCCTGCGGGGTGGGAAGATGTTAACTCCCGGTGACTTGGTTTGAAAGCTCAGCGGAGGTGCCTGGAAGAAAATTGTCCACTTGACTCTCTTACTCTTCCCAAAATAAAATCAAAGTGCCAACACACACACACACACACACACACACACACACACACACACGCACCAACTATCCCTAAATCATGCAGGACCAAGACGAAAAGAAATACCACCGCCAGGCGAGGAGAAAAGTCAGCCAGTTGGTGGGCAAGGCAGACTGTGGCTCCCTCAGACTGTCCTCCACATGGATGAAGGGTTTTGCTCTGTAAGTCAGCGCCTCTCTCTCTCTCTCTCTCTCTCTCTCTCTCTCTCTCTCTGTCTCTGTCTCTGTCTCTTCCTCTCGTCTTCCGCGTAGGCAACTCAGGGCTGCTGGCAGCCGACGAATCGGTTGCTTCCCCGGTGCGGTGCCCGAAATCAGCGGCGCTGCCTCCTCCACTGCTGCAAAGCCCTCTGCTGAGCAAGGGAGGGGGCAGCAGCTTCCCGGCGCAGGGGAGCCAAGCCTGCCTCCCACCGTGATTTATGTGCGAGGTGCCTGGAGAAAGAGAGGTGGGAGGCGGGGAGGAGAGGTTGGGCGCATCAGAGATCCCAGCTGGTCGGAGCGGCAGTCAGGAGATTGGCGATCAGCACCGCGGACAGCGCTAAGACGTGGAGGAGGAGGAGGAGGGGATGGGCGGGAAGCGAACCCTGAGGCAGCGAAGTTAAGTTATTGGATGGTTAGCGCAGAGAAGGGCGAGTCCAGGGGAAGGAGGGAGACGGGACTGCTCGCCATCGCGCAGTGAAGTCACTGACAGCCTACCTACCACACACTCGCTCCAATAGTGTCACTCACTCTCGGAGCAAAGGAGCTGTAACTTCGCAGCCCCTTTCCCACACCTGCCCCCAGCCCTTCCTTCACGGCTGGTTCTCTGCCTGGAGAAGAGTTTGACAACCCAGCGTGGGAGCCTTCCAGTGGTTTTTCTCGAAAGAAATCAGCCCAGCTGACCTGTCCTCCCCCACATCGTTGCAGATTTCTGACCTGGACCTCGGGAGCCTTGGGAACTTGGAATAGGAAAGACAAACCTTAGGAAAGGGAGATGTTTAAGGGACAGGGTGGCTTCGTTGAATGAGCACTGGACCCAGTAGTTTCTGGGACCCAGGTCTAGCCTCCACACAACCTTGTAAGAGTCATTGAATGTCTCCAAGTCCCATCTATAAAACGAGATGGCGACTGCTCGATTTCCCCAAAGATAGGAAGCAAGAGGTTCAAGAGCAACAAGAACCCACGAGATGTGAGCTGCTATGATCCCACGATCCACAGCCCGTCCCACGGCTCAGATGTTTTGACAGAGGGAGAGAGGGATTGACAGCCAGCCAGGATGGTGGGTGCCAGGCCCTCCTGTCCCTGGGCGCCCTGTGGTTTGAGCAGGATGACGTTGGGAGGTGACGAGGGGGTCTAAATCGGACGATTGAGCCTTCGCCAAAGACCCGGCACCAGAAGATGCAGACTGACCTTCTGAAGTGACACCACTAAATGGACAAGAAAATGCAACCATTAAAAGGACGGATACACAAAGAGAAATTGATTCCCGTGGATCCCAGCGTTGCAGAGCTCAAGGGGTCCTGCTCCTGCTGACTATGGACAACGGACAGGAAATCTCAAACAGACCGAGGTCCGTGTAGACCTTCTCTGCAAAGTGAAGGAGAAGCCTCTTTATTGGGGACCCTCCTCCAAAGGGTGCCACTCAGGTGCCCCAGGGCGAGCTGCCACATTTGCCACTTAATTCTCCCCTTGTAAAGCGGAACTTCAGATGTCAGAATCTCAGAGACCTTTTAGAGCTACACTTCACAGATGCTCACGATCATGATGCTTATGCTGCTGGTGGTGATGATAGCGGTGGTCTTTATGGTGATGATGATGGTGATTTTGATGGTGGTGAAGGCAGCTGTCATTTATTGAGAACCAACTATGCACCAGCCATTCTGCTAGGATCTTTACCTGAATCATCTCCTTGAGCCCTCACCATGACCCTGTGAGGATACTATTCTTATCCCCATTTTACAGATGAGGAAACTGAGACTCAAGAAGTCTCTTGCATAAGGTTACATAGTAAGTGGCAGGCACAGGATTCAAACCCAAGGCTGTATGATTCCAAAGCCCATGTTTCAGAAGGTCAGAGTCAAGTTCCAGTGCATTCTACAATTTTTTGGCAGGATCTCACTGCATCTTTCCTGGGAAGGCCCTATGACACAAGTTCAACCCCCTCACTTTACACATGGAGAAACTGAGGGCCAGAGAGGGGCAGTGACTTACCCACAGCCAAAGAGCTAGGATGTAGTAGAGTTGAACCTGGAACCCAGCCTTTCTGATGCCAGGACCTCTGTCTTAGTGCCAAGAACAGTGCCAGGTACACAGTAGCCCCCTCAATAAACACCTGAAAGGTGATTCAAGAAGCCCAGAGAGGGACTAAAGCCACACAGGCTGCTGGTGGCGGATTCAGAACCCAAGTAGGTCCCAAGCCTTTCGGCTCCCGGTCCCAAGGAATATCTACTCTATCTCACAGCTTCCTTGGGCATTAGACACGTGTTCTCAGGGGGCCTGTCAATACAGCTACCACCTGCTAAATGCCAGGACATCTACCACGTACTGGGTGCTGGTCTAGGCACTCTAGAGTTTCTGCCGCCAGTCTTCACAGCCTCATGAGGCAGGTGCTATTATGGTCCCATTTTCATACAAGACGACTGAGGCTCAGACAGATGCAGGGAAGCCCCACAGCTCACACCACCAGGCGGTGGCAGAGGCAGGGATAAGAATCTTGGGTCTGACTCCAAAGCCTGTTTTTGTTGGTTTTTGCCACCCTGCTAGTTTTTCTCAAATGGGGCCCCCTAGAGGTCCCCATGGGAGTGAAAAAGAGGCTCAAGTTGCTGCCCCCCCACACCCACCCTAGTTTCCACTTGAGCAGTAGTGCTTTTAACCGTTTTTGCATACTGGGCATCTGCCCAAGTCTTCATTGAAACAAGGCTTTGCAGCAAAATTTTTAAAAAGATAATATGGTTGAAACCAGAACCCTGCATCTTCCCTGGTATCACGCCATCTAGGAACTAGCCCTGTCTTCTCGGGAAATTTTGCCCCCATCCTCCTGGTCACCATCTCTAAACCCCTCTTCTGTCCCGAGAGCCCCTCGTCTGAAGAACCAGCTGCTGCTGTAACCTCTAACAGCGCTGCAGCCGGGAGCCGCCTCAGCTCCAGACACCTCAAGACTGAGCGGGCCTTGCTCTGAGCCTCCCGAAGCCGGAGCCTGCAAAGGGGGGCCTCAGGGCCCTGGATGCAGCGAGCTGCCTGCCCTGCCCTGCCCTGCCCTTGTGCTGCTGAGGCCGGAGGCAGCCCAGGAAGGCTGCCCATCACCCCCAGGGAGGATGGGGAATGATGGTGGTGGGGATATCTCTACCAACCAAAGCCACCCACGTGTTCCGGGTGGCCCTCGGGCACCGTATTATTATTATCCTCACAGCAATCCTGTGTGTTAATATGATCATGGTTTTATTTTTAAAAAACCATATGTTTTTATTGATTTCAGAGAGGAAGGGAGAGAGATAGAGAAACATAAATGATGAGAGAGAATCATCCATCAGCTGCCTCCCACACGCCCCACACTGGGGACGGAGCCCGCAACCGGGGCATATGCCCCAACCAGGAATCAAACCATGACCCCCTGGTTCATAGGTCGATGCTCAACCACTGAGCCATGCTGGCCGGGCTCATTGTTTGATTTTCATTTTAACAATTGAGAAAACAGACGCAGACACCGGAAGCAAATAGCCCGAGGCCATTTTGTTCTTACGCGGTGAGACTGGGATTTGAACCAAGGCCCCCTGAGTTTCTAACTATTATGCTATGTAGACCCCTAATTATAATGGTCTCTCCCATTCACTGTTGGTGCTTATTGTTCGCCACATGACATCTTTGTCACCCCAGTACTTCCCATGGCATGACAGTGCAATTAAGCTGTGTTACATTATTCACTCATCTTATAGATGCGGACATCGGACACAGAGAGGTTAGGTGACTTGCCCAAGGTAACACCGCTAGGAAGAGAGGGGATGGCAGGGTGTGAATCCAAGCAGTCTGCTTCAGGGCCCATTGTGCTGTACTGTCTCCCAGAGAGATGGGCACTGAGACAGCCCCAACGGAAAGAAGGTTGCACACAAAAAAGTTTCCGTTTCACTTGGCAAGTGGGACAGAAAAATGGCCTCAAAAGATGTCCCTATTCTAATCCCAAGATATTGCGAATATATTACCTTACATGGCAAAGGAGACGTTACCGATATGATGAAGGTAAGGGTCTTGTGACGGAAAGATTACCTGGAGGGCCCAGTGTAATCACAAGAACCCTAACAAGGGGGAATGGGGGCACCAAGGTCAGAGAGGAGAGCTGATGATGGACTGTGTGGGGGGAGAAGGAGGGAAAGAGGGGGAGAGGGAAGGAAGGAGAGGGAGGGAGGGAGAGGGAGAGGGAAAGGGAGGGAAGGAGGGAGGGATGGGAGAGAGTGGGGAGGAGAGAGAGAGAGAGAGAGAGAGAGAGAGAGAGAGAGAGAGGAGAGAGAGAGAGAGAGATGGATTATGTTGCTGGCCTTGAAGATGGAAGGAAGTAGCCACAAGCCAAGGAAAGCAGGCAGCCTCCAGAAGCTGACAAAGCAAAGGAAACAGGTTTCCCCCTGGAGGCCCCGAAGGGACGCAGCCCTGACAACACTTGATTTTAGGATTTCTGACTCCAGAACTGCAGATAATAAGCCTGGGCTACTTTAAGCCACGACGTTTATTTGTTACAGGGGCCGTGGGAAACGGATGCAGCAAGTCTGCAGAGGAGCCTACGATGAGAGGCCTTAGGGATCATCTCACAGCAACTCAGCCTTAGGGATCAGGCGCTCCCTCTTGGCCAGAGGAACCCGTGTTTCAATCATATCACAGCACAGTGTGCACGTGCATGTGTGTGTACGTGTGCACGTGCAGCTGCACACATGTCCACACAGGAGGAGGCCTGAAGAGAAAGGACGCATGTCCAAGCGCTCGTCCGGCCACCAGGCTCTGGGGCTGGATGGCCCTGCCAGGCAGGCGGCGCTTTATTCCCTCCATCCTTCTCTTTTAAGAGCCTCCGGGGAAATGCTATCATCAGGAACACAAAAGGGAAGAAATGTCACAGGAGCACAGCTCAGCCCAGGGGATCCGTCAAAGACAAAACAAATACATGCCGCAGAGACGCGGGAGAGCAAGAGAAAGAGAGAAGGAGAAAGAGCAAACTAGAGAGAGAACGGCTGGGTCCCCGAGGCCGGCCTGTGTCCTGACAGACCCCTTCCCACCGGGAAAGGAGCAAGTCTTGAGGAAGCTCATTAGCCCCCGCAGGAGAAAATGGGGTAATTACAGAGAAGACGCTACAGGACTTGGCAGGACACGCTTTTAAGACAAGCCAACCAGTATTATTCATTAATCAGTCAATTCGGTGCTACCAGGCAAGGCACTGAGAGGGGAAAGAGAGGGGACTTGCATTCTGGAGCGCTGAGCTCCGTGCTTGGCTCCCCCATTCACCAGCTGTGTGGCCTTGAATATGTCACTTGCATGCTCT